ATATCTGTTTCAGCATGAACAACAACAACAACGACCCCAACCCAACAAACAATTCCCTACAGGAATTACACCGGCTCGCTCGCCATCTGGCGGATGAGATCGGCCGGACCATCTAACCACTCCCGCGAGTCCTCCGATCAGCTGAGGACGCTGCCCGAGCCCCATTCCCTGAAGTCCTTCGCGACCCCGTCACACGGGCCCACTACGACCGGGGTGTCCGCATGGGCCGTAAAGACGCATTTCGCGATGTGCGCAGTGCACTCGTTGCGGTCCCCCGTGCAACCCAGCCCACACTGGGGGTACGGGCCCCGAGCACCCTGACCAGGAGGGTGATAAATGTTGCGGCCCAACATTTTGGGACCCGGCAACCCACCCCCAGCACGACAGGTATACGGCCCCCAACAGTCCTGTTATTGCGATACGCGAATGGATAGCACCCGACCACGGCCGCTGATGTCATTTCGCGCTGCGCGACCTGACATCACCGCCCTCAACCTTTGTCCCCCACGACGACCGCGCGTCCTCAAAGGCGCAGGTCCGCCGTCGGCGCCCCCCCCCCCACGTACCCTCGGTGAGACGGTACTCACCGTCTGAACAAAAGCGCCGCGAGCAGCGGTACAAGGACTATATGCTAAAGCGTTGGGGGGTGGTCGTCGGTGAAACGACACCCGTCGACCCAACAACAACAACAATCACAGCAACAACAACAACAACAACAACCGCTGCAATAACGACAACAGCCACGACAACAATTTCGGCAGTGCACAGCTAGAGGAGGGCATATTGGAAGACGCGATCGACCACCACCCAGCCCACAAAGCGCGATAACGCGTGAAAAACCAGCTCGTCAGAACAAACAACGTAAGTATTTGCGGCCTTCACCGTGATGGGCGGTATAATTAGCTATTTGTGGTATGGTAATCGCGCCACGCGTTATTCGATTCACTGAGTAGACCGGCGGCTTGGCGGGGGGGTATTTGACACGTTCCCGCGGCGTTCTCAATACACGGAGCCCTGCGACCCATGACACCTTTATCAGCCGTCGCCCTACTACGTGCATATGGTAGTTTGACTGACTAACACTGCGTGTGATACGCCACGGTACAAAGTCCAGCAAGATGGACCCGCCGCAAATATACGTTAAGTAATCTCCGTGACACCGCACGTTACGGATATCGAGATATCGCACTGTATCAACCAGCAGCGGCTACGACTTCACCGGCGGTTTCTCGTACATATTGTGTATTGTACATTTTTTTGTTTTTTTTTTCTGTTATTTCTGTTCTAGTTTATAATTGACTATTCTTGTTCCCGAACAATTAATATACGGCTTCGTGCCACTTGTAGTAAGCAACCGTGTTATTTTATTAGTATCCTACGACGATAGTCATAACAATTACATCATTTTATTTTTGACAGGTTTTTAATTCTATTAGTTTTGCTAAGATGTTTTTACTTTTTGAACATGTTTTTAATGGCAGTTTTTTTTTATTATTAATATCAGTATTATGATTCATGTAGTTTGAATTACAATTTATATAACATATTTTAATTTATCAAAATAATAACCTAATAAAAAATTCTTTTTTTTTTTTAATTGTGTTAATTAATTTTTGGAATGACTCAACATTTGACATACTTTTATAAAATTAAGCTTTTAAACATTTCGGGGGGATTTTTATTTTGTTATTATTATGCGATGTATACTTATTATTTAAACAAATTAAAATTTGACATCCTTCATTTATAAATTATGTTAAGAAAAAAAGTTAATTAAAAAAAAAATTTTACTTATTTGATGAGAGATAACAGAAAATTATTTATAAAAATAATTAAAATAATTTTATTACAGGAGAAGTCTAATTAAATTAAAAATATAGTAATTAAGCTAAAAGTAAATAATAACAGTAAAATTATATACCTTGAAGATTCGTATTTGTCGATATTTTTTTTTATAAGGATTTGTTTTCTGATGTAATTTTTTTATAGAACTATAATTTAATTAATGTATATTACAACATACATTGAATCTCAAATAAAACGTAAATAGAAAATTTTAAACTTCAATCAAACAACAATTTCTGCTAAAAGTAGAACAATACATGTAGTTAAAAAAAACTAAAAAACACACTTTTAAAGCACATCGAACTAAAAAGTTAAAAATAATTTATAAATTAAGCTTAAAATAATAATGAACAAAAAATACTAGTATTATTGTGATAAAAGCGTCAGGCGCTCAATATACAAAAAATATGGCATAAAGCATCCACGCTTTTTCTCACAATAATACTAGTATTTTTTGTTCATTATTGTTTTTAGTTAATTTTAAAAATTATTTTTAACTTTTTAGTTCGATGTGCTTTAAAAACGTGTTTTTTAGTTTTTTTAAACTATATTTATTTTTCACTTTTTAGTTTCATGTTATGATAGTAGTTAATATCAATATCATGGTTGTAACGGGTAACGGGAAATAAGGGTTCGATTCCGGAGAGGGAGTCTAAGAAACGGCTACCACATCCAAGAAAAGCAGCAGGCGCGCAACGTGGAGATAGTGACGATACGAGAATCATCCCCCGTAATCGGAATGAATATACTACATATCTCTTAATGAGAATATAGTGTATTAATATATAAGTTTTAATAGTAATTAATATACAGGGTGTTCAGTAAGTCAGGAAACGGGTTTCTATTGTTCTCATTGTTTGTAACAATGAGAACAATAGAAACCCGTTTCCTGACTTACTGAACACCCTGTATATTAATTACTATTAAAACTTATATATTAATACACTATATTCTCATTAAGAGATATGTAGTATATTCATTCCGATTACGGGGGATGATTCTCGTATCGTCACTATCTCCACGTTGCGCGCCTGCTGCTTTTCTTGGATGTGGTAGCCGTTTCTTAGACTCCCTCTCCGGAATCGAACCCTTATTTCCCGTTACCCGTTACAACCATGATATTGATATTAACTACTATCATAACATGAAACTAAAAAGTGAAAAATAAATATAGTTTAAAAAAACTAAAAAACACGTTTTTAAAGCACATCGAACTAAAAAGTTAAAAATAATTTTTAAAATTAACTTAAAACAATAATGAACGAAAAATACTAGTATTATTGTGAAAAAAAGCGTGGATGCTTTATGCCATATTTTTTGTATATTGAGCGCCTGACGCTTTTTTTCACAATAATACTAGTATTTTTCGTTCATTATTGTTTTAAGTTAATTTTAAAAATTATTTTTAACTTTTTAGTTCGATGTGCTTTAAAAGCGTGTTTTTTAGTTTTTTTAAACTATATTTATTTTTCACTTTTTAGTTTCATGTTATGATAGTAGTTAATATCAATATCATGGTTGTAACGGGTAACGGGAAATAAGGGTTCGATTCCGGAGAGGGAGTCTAAGAAACGGCTACCACATCCAAGAAAAGCAGCAGGCGCGCAACGTGGAGATAGTGACGATACGAGAATCATCCCCCGTAATCGGAATGAATATACTACATATCTCTTAATGAGAATATAGTGTATTAATATATAAGTTTTAATAGTAATTAATATACAGGGTGTTCAGTAAGTCAGGAAACGGGTTTCTATTGTTCTCATTGTTTGTAACAATGAGAACAATAGAAACCCGTTTCCTGACTTACTGAACACCCTGTATATTAGCGGTGGCGGTAGGAATATATGATCTTCGCATAATATCGCGGCACTGTCGCTGACGTCGACGACGCGATGTCCGTCGTCATCCTCGGGCGTCAAAAGGTTAGCAGCGTAAATGAGGACAGTGTGCGAGTGCGGATCGGTTTTTTGACGTTGTCAATCTGACAACGAGTAGAAGACTACGGTATCATTAACGGCGGGACGTAGTCGGCCGTGCGGCACTTGCTGGACTTTGCACTGCGGCGTAAAACGACGCGGGGCCGTGTCAATCACAATAAAAATTTGTTATAAATATAATTGATGATACGCGCGCGTCTACGGGTTGGAAAATATTGTTTTCTACGAGTGGTGAGCGGGGTGGGGTGAATGCGTTACGACCGTCTAGTCTCAAGGCCTTAGACACGTGCCGCGTGGAAAGTAACAAACATCCCACAACATACAAGTGAAACTAATATAAGCGTGTTAAAAAGAAAACAACAATGATATAGAAAAACTATTTAATAGAAATAGTTTACTATACATCATTAAACGGTGCAAATCGCTCGAATATTGGGCAATAAATTCAATCAACTGTTAGATGGAAAATATATTTTAGAGCGGCCACAAATTCATTGATTATTTTTAATTCGATGGACAGATATTTGAGAAAATTAATACTGAAGTCAATCGAGCCAACAAGAATAAGAGCAACAAATTCAAATAAAAGATTAGTTTATAAGCAAACAGGCTAAGTGGTGTTAATAGCATGTCACAGCGTTAAAAATGTGTTTTAACGCTCTGCCACTTATAATTATACAGACTTTTGAAAAAATTCGCCTAAATATAAATATATAATAGTAATAATTTCTGAAGTACTGATTCAAAAATTATATTTAAAATATAAGAATTACATTTTTATTTTATAAGTAAGCTAATAATATATGTTGCCATCTAAAAAAATAAAGTGTACCCATAATAAGTGATAGAGGATGAACTAAAAAGTATTTAACCATTTATAAATTAAGAGATAAGTAGTACACAACAATACCGAAAAAAATATTTCCAAAATTATTACTTAAGGAGAAATGTAGTAGTCAATGATAAATCAATTACTGTTTAAAGCTAATTAAACAACATTTTAAAAATAATTTTAGTTTTGTACATTTATTAAGTTGTAAACAATTTTGTAAAAATCATTTATATATTTAAATTTTAATTTAATAGTTATTGAAGTGCGTACCTGTTAAATTAATATAAATTATAATATATTTTTAGTCTTAAATAAAATGTAATAAGAAAATTTATATTTCTATCAAACATTATATTTTTGCTAAAAAAAAAAGAATAACATACTGTAGTTAAACTGATGCTTGAATAATTTATACCGAAAATTGACTTGGCCGATATAATAAACAACATACATTTTATAAAAGTAATTTATCTACTACACTAACGGACGACCAATAACAAATAGTAAAATAACCCAACCGGACGGTCTATTAATATAAATCTTTTTAGAAAATTTGAGCGACCTATTCATACAACCTTTTTCAGCAGACGGAACAAATATTTTCATAACGGCCACAGATTCAAATTAAGTGTAAGTTTATAAACTGGCGGCAACGTTGTCAGATTGCATATGAACTAACTTTTACACCGCGGGCCCAAGAAGCACAACGAGTGACTGTTAGATACTGTAGGATCTTTTTTTTCTATATTACCATTTGACCGCTTAGTCACGTCTTCTCTCATACAATATATTTGTTATACTACACATTAATGACATTTCAATTTTGTTTGTCCGATTATTTGAATAAGTCGCCTTATTACTTAGCTCGATTGACTTCAGTATTTCAGTATATATTTCCTTAAATACCTGTCCATCGAATTGATAGTAATCAATAAATTTTTCCACAATTTATTGTTTAGTTTTCAATTTATTACTCTACAATTGCTGTCTTTTAGTTTACTAATAATTGAATTTTATAATATCACTTTTACGGTCGCAACTTCTACTCGCCTAAAAATAAATATATTAATAAGTTACGAAGTACTGGTTCACAAATTATTTTTTAATATATAAGTTTTAAGTTTTTGTTTTTGTTTTATAAGTAAATTAAATATGTATGTTGCTATTTAATTTACTATTAATTTATTATTAATTAATAAAGTTGTGTCCTTATAAGGAATTGAAGACGATCCTAAAAAGAATTTAACCTTATATAAAGTGAGAAATAAATAGTACTCAACAAAGACAAAAAAATATTTCAAAAATTATTATTACTTTAGGAAAAGTTTGTGATCAATGATAAATCAATAACTCTTTAAAGCTAATGAAACAACATAAAAAAAAATTTTTAGTAATATTTCATGCAATTTTTATGTAGCAGTTTTATAAGTTTATTAAATTCATAATTTTGTAAACAATTATTTATATTTTTAAATTATAGATTAAAAGTTATTACAGTACATATCTGATTAAATTATCAATAATTACATTATATAAATAATTTCAAATAAAATATAAAAATAAAATTTAAAACTTTTATCAAACATCAAATATATCTTTTAAAAAAAGAATATCTATAATGTAGTAAAAGTGATTTTTGGATAATTTGTACCGAAAATTGACTAGGTTGACATAATAAACAACATACATTTTATAAATGCAATTTATTTACAATACTAATGGGCGATAAATAACAAATAGAGAAGTAACTCAATCGGACGGTCTATTAATATAAATCTTTTTAGAAAATTTGAGCGACCTATTCATACAACCTTTTTCAGCAGACGGAACAAATATTTTCAACGCAGCGACAAATTCAAATAATATATGAGTTAATAGGAAAACTGGCAATGTGTTGAATTCATAAGCTTTAAGAATGATTTCAATGCTTTGTCCCTTTTAATTATACGCACTTATGAAAGCAGCGTTGTCAGATTGCTTCTAAACTTATATCTAACCCGCGGGACACGAAATAACACAACTGAATAAGTATTGTTATATAATAGTTTCTTTCTATCTTAACATTTGGCAGCCGAGTCACGTTCTCTCATGCAATTTATATTCTGTACTATACATTTATGACACTTCAATTTTGTTTGTCCGATTATTTCAATAAGTCTCTCTTATTACTTAGCTCGATTGACTTTAGTATTAATTTCCTTAAATTTAGAGAAATTTAGTGGTCAATGATAAATCAATCGCTCTGTAAATCTATTTAAATGACATATTTAATTTTTTTTTGTATTATTTCAAGCAATTTTTAATCAACAATTTTATATATTTATGAATAATTAATATTTTTTAATCTTTTTCTCCAATCTTCTGATTGGAATGCACAAACAATTTTAAACAGCCCTCTCCAAATATAAAGTGCTTAGGCAATAGGTTCCCATAAATTATCAAATGCGGATTTTAATAGTAAAGAGCAAAACCTACAACATTTTAGGTTGGGTTTAATATTTAATATTGTCAACATACGATCGAGGAACTTAGTGTATTGTAAGACGATTATATGTTACTGAGGATGTGTTGCTATAAATTATTGATTTCGATAAATACTGGATTTGTCATCTTACTTCGCTTACCCAACATATTATTCAAAAGGCCAACCTTTTTATATACATTTTTTTCAAAATAATATTTTTATATATTATTTCTACTTTTGGAGTCTTTTCGTAAAGAAAAAATTATTTAATTAAATAAACATTACAACAATAATATATTTTTTTTACGAAAATTAAAAATTGTCAATAGATTCTAATAAAACGAGTGTCTTATTCTTAATCGTTAATTATGTATTAAATATAGTTGAGCAAGTATAAAATTTGTAATTACTTATCACAAAGTAAATAAAAAATAAAAAAAAAATTAATTATGCCATATGAGTACTCAAGATATGCACACATGGAAATATTACAATAATACATAAGAGTACTGAAGTAATAATAGTTTGATTTGTGGTGGTTGCACTATCGTACGGCAATCTTGTCGGCTTATCGTCTTTAAAATGTGTAAACCCAACACCCCTCCTAACAGAGCCGTAGTGTTTTAGTGTATTGTTGTATAAATATATCTAGTCATTACCGAGTAATGGATCAAATAAGTTGTGCTGTATTCTACTATAATATTTTAAAAACGGCGTCAAATTCATTGATTATTTTCAATTTGATGGACAGACATTTGAGTAATTATGTACTGAAGTCGATCAAACTAAGCAGAAAAAACGACAAATACAAATAATAGAAAAAGCAAAGACAATGAGCAAACTGGCAACGTGGTATTGTAAGCATAAAGCACTATTTTAATGATTTCCCCTTTGCAATAACACAGATTTATAGAAGCAACGTTGTCAGTTTGTTGGCCTCCAAGTCATGTTTTCTCATGCAATATATTTATTGTGCTATACATTAATGTCACTTTAATTTTGTTGATCCGATTATTTGAATTTGTCGCTCTTACTACTTGCCTCGATTGACTTCAGTATTTATTTCATCAAATATCTGTCCATCGAATTAATTAAATAATAAATGAATTTGTCGCCAATTTGATGTGTTTTTTCAATTTATTGCTCTAATATATTTATGACTATTTTTATCATTAGACGTTTCACGACCGCGCATTTCCATCTGCCTAAATTAAAAATAGTAATAATTTTCGAAGTACTGGTCCAATAGTAATTACCGACTAGTCATTATTTTAATTATAATTTTTTTTATTTTACAAGTAAATTAAAAATATGTGTTGCCATCTAAAAAAATAAAGTATACCCTTATAAGTGATTAAGGTCGAAATAAAAAGTATTTAACCATTTATAAATTCAGAGATAAGTAGTTCTCAACAAAGCCAAAAAAAATATTTCTAAGATAATTACTATAGGAGAAATTTAGTGGTCAATGATAAACCAATAAATCTTTAAAGCTAATTAAACATTATTTTAAAAAATATTCACACAATTTATATGTAATAGTTTAATAAATTAATTAAATTAACAGTTTTATGAACAATTATTTATATTTTTAAATTTTAAATTATAAGGTATTTAGTGCGTAACCGATTAAATTAATATAAATAACAACATATTTTTAATCTTAAACAAAATGTAGTAAGAAAATTTTAAACTTCTATCAAATATAACAATCATTACTGCTAAAAAAGAATAACTTTAATGTAGTTAAAATGATGCTTGAATAATTTGTACTAATAATTTTCAAAACCATCATAATATATATTTTATAAATTTAATTTATTTACAATACTAATATGCGATAAATAACGAATAGCAAAATAACCTAACAGGATGGTCTATTAATAATAATTTTGGTTTATGTGAAGGACAAACTCAAACAACCGTTTTCAGTAGATGGAAAAAATATTTTAAAAGCGGCGACAAATTCATTGATTATTATCAATTGGATAGACAGACATTTGCGAAAATTAATACTGGATCGAGCCACAAGTAGTATAAGCAATAAATTCAAATAAAAGATTAGTTCATAAGCCAACTGGCAACGTGGTGTTCATAAACATTATACACGTTTTTAACGCACTGTCCCTTTAGACTTCTCAAAACAACATTGCCAGTTTGCTTTAAACTTATACCGCGACCACGCAACGAGTGACCATTGAATAAGACTGGATCATTTTATTTTACAATTTGCCCGCCATTTGCGTTCTCTTATACAGTATATTAACTGTACATTGTTCGACAGGTTATTTTAGTTTTTCGCTCTTACTTGACTTTCTTAACTTATCGAATTAAAAATAATCAATAAATTTGTTGCCAATTTATTGTATACTTTTCAATTTATTTCTCTAGTGTATTAGTAATGGGTAAAATTAAAACTATATTAAAAATATTATTAATTTAAAAAAACTAAAAAATATTAAAAATATTAAACTCAAAAGCCACAAAAAAATTAATGAAAAGTCGCCGACTTTTCATTAATTTTTTTGTGGCTTTTGAGTTTAATATTTTTAATATTTTTTAGTTTTTTTAAATTAATAATATTTTTAATATAGTTTTAATTTTACTTAATTAATTAGCCACAAGTGATCAATTTTTATTATATATTAGTAATGGGGTTTGACAATTTTTAACATTTAACATTATTTAATAACTGGACTCTTTCACCCGTCAGCTATAATTTGCTAATTTCCAAAGTACTGTTCTAAAAGTTGTTATCGACCAGTCATATTCTTAATTAGATTATTTTCTATTTTATAAACTAGTTCAATAAATGTCGCCATTAAAAAAAAATAAAGTGAAAGGGATAAGGGTGAAGCTAAAAAGTATTTAACCACTACTAAAAAAAACATTTTCACGATTATTATTTTAGGATAAATTTAGTGAACGGTGATAGATCCATTACTCTACAAATACTAATACAATATTCTAAAGCTATTTAAAAATAATTCAGTATAATTTTACACTATTTTTATGTAGAATTTTTGTAATTTTATTAGGTATATAAACTTTGTAAAAAATAATTAGTATTTTTTAAATTTCAATTTAAAAGTTAAACAACATTTATTATAATAGCTAGAGTGTATGACCGATTTTAAGCAGCTTCTGCAAATTAAAGGTGTATACACGAGTATATGACAATTTATGTGAAACATAAACCCTCTTCCTAATATTTTAAATTTAATTTGATTCTGTTACGAACAGATTATTCGTCCTTTACCAACATTAACAACTATACTAATGTCTGATCAGCACTAGTGTTTATACAGTTCAACTATGAATATGCGGCGTGCGGGTGTAAACAAACCGTTTACACTCTTCTTGAATTAATCAAAAACGTAAAGAAAACAGTCGACATTCTATCACTCTTGCGACAACTCAACTCTATTGTTCCGATAACTCGTACAGTATAATCGTGAGTACTAAAATAAATACTATTATTGTTTTACTTATTTTTATTATTATTTTGGGTTGTGTACACTCGTCGCCGTCGCTCATCTAACTTTGATACCATCAACATCTCTAGAGATCCAGTCAGGTTAAATTTAAATAATATTAAATAGAAATAAATGCTTGTTATCGTTGTTAGTTTAGAGTCTATATTTATTTGATCACGAAACCGCTAACTGCCCTTTTAATGGGCTATAAATTATACATGGCCAGCGTTATCCTGTTTAAGTACAGCTTAGCCAAGTGTTAGGACTCTAGCGGAAAGCACGTTACAATTCCATAAAAAAATATAAACAAAGAATAAAATAAGTTAGATTAGAATTAGAATAAAGTCAATTTATTAGGATAATAATTTACAATTGTTATTTTTGAAGTCAATGCCAGTCCAGGTTCACAAACGTGTATCAAAGAAGTAGCTTAGTACGAATGTGTATACTATTCATATTATAATCGATAACAAGACAGCAAACGCGGTACAAGAATATAACATTGAGGAGCGCAGCAATCTATTTTAGTAGTGGTAAGGAATAGTAGTAGTAGTGATTTCAAAATAGTATTTTCCAATAGCAATAAACAGCTGCTAATCAAAAAAACGATTAATATCAGTGACTGCTAGTTTTATTTATCAATATTATTACTTTTCTTACTACATTAACTGTCAGAAATTACTATGTCAGATTTAACGTCTTGTTTAATTAAATTGAATATTAGAAATACTATTATTATTTATTAACAACGTCAAACAATAATAATATATAAGCGTCATTCTGACACAAATATTATTATGCATTTTCAAATATTTTCCTAGAATACTAGATAACTCCCAGAAATCGAATTTTCGGATAGTTTTTCTTTTATCATTTCAAAGTATATTGTACTAACTTTAATTTAATGTAGGTTTAAAGAAGACAGGTTTTTTGAAACATCAAAAATTGCAAAGAAAACAATTTTTATGATGATTTTATCCCATCTCAATACTTTTGTTAATGATAGGATTTTTAAAAAAATGTATGTTAAAATGTAGAAAAACATTTTATATAACTGACATTTTTTTTAGATTCATGTATCATTCAAGTAAATAATCTTTTGACGTGTAGTTGAGCAAAATTGGTCCAATAGGAGCAGAGTAATTTCGGACACAAAAAAATTAATAGCAGAGTATAACCTATAGCCTCTTAGCTACCCGCACCGAAGCTAATAGTTATAAAAATTAGCAGTTTCATCAATTTTCTTTTTAAATATCAATAACTGCTGTTTTTTACTTCTACTTCATATTTCAAAACAACAATAGCATAAGAAGATGCTACTAAGACAAATAACATTTTATCACTTTTTAACCAGTTAATTTTAAATAATTTATTTATAAATAAATTCAACAATTTTGATATCAATAGTCAACGACGTCTGGCCTCCACTTTTACGAGCGTTTGGTTCGCTACTCAAATTTGTAAACCTTCCGCCATTACACTATATTCCCGCCATTATGCGCCGTGCTGTTCAACATCAAAAGTTTGCTGTCTTGTTTATGATAATGAAACGGGTTGATACACGTTTGTTTACCTTGGCTGGTACCGACCTCAACAATATCAAAAATTTATATTATTATTTTTATAAATTAATTTTATTCTTATTCTAGTCTGATTTATTTTATTATTTTTAGTAAATTTTTCATAGCAGATATTTTGGTCGTTATTTTTACTTTGTACAAATTTTTTTTTATTTTTTATTTTCAGTGCATATTTTTAGCTGGAAGATAGGTAATTCATTTACCTATCTTCTAGGTCTATTTTAGTGACCATAAATGCCACTGGTCACAGGAAAGTAATTTAATACACAATTTCGTTTAATTGGATGACATGTTTTTTCAGTTCTTTTGATTAAAAAATTACTGAACCGATTTTGATAAAATTTCTATAGAACTAATTTAAAAGCATAAAAAACCTTTTAAAGAAAAAAAGAATTTTCGAAATCTATTTATAAATGTCGGAGCAATGAGGTAACAAACATAAAAAATACATCGAATGTACAACCCCCTCCTTCTTTTGGAGTCGGTTAAAAATAAATAAAAAAAATTATGCCATATGAGTACTATAGTATTTAATCCGGATTAAATACTGCCCAAGTAACTTTATATTGGTTAACGGTCAGTTCAAGCGACCCACGAGTGCTGGTAAATTCAGCGGTCAATAAGTAACCCAGTTTTTTTAGCTTCGATAAGAAGCTGAGAAGGTATTAATTTTACTGTGATGACTTTTTTTTTTTTTGTGTGTATGTTGCCATTTTCTCAGCTTCATTATTTATTTTGACAATACGTCAACAGGTTACAAATCATATCTAGTTAAAGACATTGCCCTTAAAAATTGAAAAATTATTCCTTCGTTCCTCGTAAACGGGGAAAATCTCCAAAAAAATTATAATTTTAAAAATCAGTAATTTTCGACATTTTTTTCTTACAACTATCATAACTTTTTTAAAAATTAACAAATCATAATAATTTTTTTTGTATATCGAAACTTAAGATATTTACCTTGCTTCAGTTGAAAGAATACCAAAACTACAAATTTATAATATAGAAAATAAATAAGTTATTTGTCAATTTTATAGCTTAAATCAAAAAACTTTTATCATACGTTTTTGTAAAAACTACTATTTTTTTTTATCAATATTATACAATTTTGATTTCAGAAACTCTAAATCAACTACTGAAACAATTTATTATGAGTGTTAATTTATCATTTAGAATAATTGAAAATTCTGTTTTAAATGAAATAATTGAATGAAGTTTCCACAACAGAAAACTGTCTCGGCCTACTTTAATTAAAAGTGTGATGGTGTCACGTTTTCATAATCTTTAGAATTATTTTAATAAAATACAGACAGCACATCCGCTGCCTGAGACTGATGAATTAACAAATAATACTTATTGCCAAATCGTCAATAGTTCTAATTATTATAAAAACCCAATAGACCTGACCATCGTGGTCAGTCGACTCCAGTGCCTTGTGTCATTCATCAGTCTCAGTACTCGGTTGTCGCTGTCCGGCTTACTGCTTAAAGTAGATCTTTGTTTATTCCTTTTTAAAACCTATCTACTCTCTTCCACAACATTTCAGAGTACTTGTGTCTTGCACTTCGTCTGCACCTTATACTCGGCTACCCCGTTCTCTCTTTGAAGTACTTGTGTATTGCACTTCCTCTGCACCTCGTACTTGGTTATACTCCTTATCTGGTACGCCCAGTATTTGTGTCTTGCACTTCGTCTGCACCTCATACCTAGGTGTCACCCTTATTCCCTTCCTATAACAACAGCCTTTCGACACCCACAGCTAATCCGGAGTGTCAGCCGATCACGGTGACTGTTGTACGAGAACACGCACGTGAATACCTAGACAACAGGCACCACATCCTCATCCTCTCTCCAGTATATGTTTTTACATTTTACTGTGTTACGACAAAAGTATTGAGAATACTTTCTTAAATTATCCTTTAAAATAAAGTCTTAGATGTTTAAGTGTGATCATATTGCTACGACTATAAAGGGTAGGTCAATTTTTAAAAAGTAAATAATAGATTTATTTTTATTTGTATAGGTACCTAATCAACAGATTTTATAGGTAGTATATTTATATATTTCATTTATTTATTTTATAGGTAATATATTATTTTAGATCATATATTTGAATAATAGTCACATGGATCAATGAGTATTTATTAAGAACTACTCGTCTTTTAATTTTGAGAACACTAGAAGGGTCACATCAATAGTTTTAAAAACTATTCGAATATATTGTGTAACTATCGAATATTTTTACTATTCGAATATTTTTTGAATGACTATCGAATAATTCGATAGTTTCTATTCGATATTTCCCATCACTAATAAATAGGTAACCATCCATTGTATATTTAAAAAGTAACATTTTAGATCAAATATTTTATTTGTTTAATTAACATTTTCTGTATAGGTCTTTTAAAAAGCTTTGTCTAATACAGCTTTTAAAAAACTGCCCAGAATCACTCTAGCCTAGTCAACTTCTTGCGGTACAAACAAGGACACTCGACCAAATTAGCTGATATAATTAAATAAAATCTTGGCGTCTATTTAATAACACCCAACGAGACATGTTGGAATTCATTGTATGATGCAGTGTTGTTGCTTAATAAATTAAATAAAAATAATGAACTTAAATTTAGAATTATTATGAATTAATTGTCTATTATGAGGTTAATACTAAAATAAAATAAATGATTTATTGTTACTTTTTTGTATATGTATATATTTGCAGATTTAATAAATATGACATTGAATTTTTGAATCAATATCAAAAAATAATGGGACCTTGATTTACTTTAAATTATGATATTAACTTATGTTTTTGTAAACTTTTACCTACTTTTAAAGAGGTAATTTATAAATTTGGGCCAATGATACATGATCACACATTTCCTCATTATATGCAAGGTCTGGTAACTCCTATACTAAATGGTTTGTAACAATAACTATAAAGCAATATAACTTTATGAGAATTTATCTCAATACAATATTTGTTGTTTATGTTGTGCGAAATAATACACAAAAATACACTATCAGCTAAGTAAATTTATTATCTTACCCATTTAATCATTTTTATTTTATTTTATTAGTGAGTATCTTATGTTCCTGCATATTTCAATTTATTATTTATTCATTGTTTTATTCTGAATATTTATATTTTTGTACACTGATTAATGTAATAAAAACAAACTTTGTTGATATTAATATTTAAGTCTTATTCTCTTCTTTTAGGTACAGAAACGAGGTTTTCAGATTCTTTGATGAACACATTTTTAATTACTTCTACTGTCTGCATTCCACAATTGAAAACTGTCTGGATTAAAAATTAAGTAAAAAAACAAATGGGCACGGAGTATTATAAATGAGTTGCACCAAAAATATTAATAAAAATAATGATTTTACAGATTATGACCAAATTCATGATTTATCTAACTTCTTTACCGGGACACAAAATGTCCATGAGGAAAAGTCATCAGTTTGTGATGAAATTGACAGAATATTGGTTGATTATACAGCCAAAATATAAGAATGTTTACATAATTTATGCATAATTAAAAAAGTAAGATTAATTGTATACTTAAAATAAATATTAGTAGTATAATTTTACTAAAAAATTTTTATTTTGTTTTCAGTTTTTCATTAAATACAACACTCCTTTACCAATCAGTGCATCAGTTGAGAGAGTTTTTAGTGTGGGTGGTGCTACAATTACTAATGTACAATTATTAGCACTTAGGTTTTAACTAATATATTTTGTTACACAAGTTGATTTTTTCTTACTAGAATTTATAAGTTAAAAATTTTATTAGAATTCAGATTTGTGTAAGATCTATATTTGTTTTTAAATAATATATTTTTTTAATTTGTTTATAAAATGCACTTATTGGCACCATTATTGCGTATTCGCATTGCTGTCCGACTTTCTCGAAATTTCTACTTGGAGCAGTGGAGTATTTAGGAATTTTCCATGGGAGGGGTCCAATTTTTTTTTTGGTGATGACCTTCTTTTTTTGCTCACCAAAGACTAGTATTTTATTTTTGATACCCAAATAATTAAATTAAATCAAAAAGCTTTATATTATATTCAAAGTAAGTACAAATTGTAAGATGATTTACAAAGAAAAATTAAATCGGCGCTTTGTAGACGATAATATGTCAATGACTTCATCTTCTGTAACAGAAACATGTTTGTGTATGTTGAGAACCGATAAACCATTTAATCTGATTGCAGAAGTTGTGTTCCTCAAATATGTTTTAATTCTCTTCACTGAAGAAAATTATCTCTCTGACTCACATGATGTAACAGGGAGTACAACTAGGATGTGCAATAAGTTATAAATATTTGGATAGAAGTCCTGATTACATTTTAGTAAAGCGTTTATTGCATTCTGAGGTTTTATATTATTTATATTTAAATATCTGTGCCATAATTCAACTTCTGATACAACTTTTTCATAACTTTCAACATCTTCTTGATAAAATTTTACAAGATGACGTAGATTACTTTTAACACATGGATTTATCAATACTTGAAAACTAGAAATTATTTTTTTGTGATTATTGAAACGGTCATTCAATTGTTGTATTATAGAGTCAATGAATGGAATAAAAAGAGTTACTCTAAAATAGTCTTCTGGATTTCCTGTTGAAAAATTATTCCGATGTTTTTGTCTTTTAGCAAGTCTTGGCATTTTAATTTCAATATCCATTTCATTTGATCTTTTCATGGCATTTTTAAACAATTCATTAAAGACAGTTTTAGCATTTTCACGAATATTCATTAGTTCATTTAAAACGGTGTTGATGTGATTAATTGCTTCAACCAAGTCAATGTTTTGCTTTTGTAGGTAAGTGCTAAGAGGTTTAGTATACTGAAATAATTTAACAATTACAGATAGATTAACATTAAATTCTGTAGTTCGCACTGTTAAAAGTATTTGATTAGCTTTTGTTGGTGTATCATTATCAGACCATGTGATAATTTCTTCCAAACTATTAATAATGACAGGTAAAAAATTATAAAGTGTGTTCAACAGAACTATGGCGTTCTACCCAACGGGTAGGGCAGAGGCGTTTTAGTTTTTCATTTTTTGAATGACAACCATCTTCTTTCATACTTTCTTCTTTTTTAAATATTTCTAATTGTTCAGTGAAAAACTTTTGTCTTTTAGGAGTATTAAAAAATAGATATACACTTTCAACGGCCCCATTGTATTTCTAATTTGAGGTATATTACAACAATATGATATAGTAAGATTGAGATTATGAGAGCTGCAATGAATGTACAGGGCAGTGGGGTAATTGTTTTTGATTAATGTAGCAACTCCATTAAATTTGCCGCTCATAGTGGCAGCGCCATCATACCTTTGACCTCTTAAATTTTTAATATCTATGTTCAAACTTTTTAGTTCATCAATTATGATGTTTGCTAGAGTTCTACCACTCACATCATGAACGGGTACAAACTTTAAAAAGTCCTCATGAATTGTATTATCAATAGAATTACATCAGCAGTCTCATCAGAAATTATGGAAAAATATTTAAATTCATTAATTTTTTTTACAATTTTTTTTGACACTACTATATAACAAGCATCAACAATCTGATTTTGTATTTGCGGACTTATATACTGAGCATTCTTTTTACAGTTTTCTCGTGCTAATACATGACTATTATTTTCTGATATTCTAGTTGCATTTATAATATCTTAATAACGCCCGAAAATTACCATCATTTTCTGTTGGTTCATTTAATTCCAAAGGGCCATAATCTCGATTACCTCTAATTGCTATTCCCTGACGACCACAGAATATCACAGACTTAATAACAGGCAAAATGATTTTTCTATTATCTTCTTTTTGATGTTTTGAAGCTATATCTAGTTGATCGTACACAGAAGTTGTTTGCCCTGAAACAACTTTTGACAAGGATTGATACATCAATATACAGTTGATATGATAATTAGTGCTTTCATGTGATTTAAATTTTTCAGTAGCGTGCTTCCAATTCTTTAATGGTTGATTGCAAAGCTGCCCAAGCAATTAACTTCCTTTTCCACCATATTTTATAGTAAATAGTACACAATACTTACAATAAGCACCAACAACTAAACTACTATAAGCAATCTAATTCCACTTCTCAAACCAAGAAAGTTGAAATTTAAAATTTTTATTGCCATTAAACGTAATAGGATAATTATAATTTTTATCTGGGATCCAAAGTGTATTAAGCGCTTAAAGTTTTTCATTATTTGACATATGTTTACCAATATATTTTGTTATATCAAACGCGCTGTGAATGTTGTCTTCCGTTTCCCTTGAAACATTGGTACTTATAGAACACTTGACTAAAGTAGGTAAGGGAGCACTTTGATCGGGATTACTAGCTTTAAAATAATCGTTTATAAAACGTTTCATTTTTAATTTTCAATACTTTAAACTGTAAAAACCAACAGTACTAAAAAACAAAAAACTACAATTGTAACAAATAATATTAATTTGTTGTTATTTCAAAACTGTTACGATAACAATAAATGATTTGATAACAGATCAAAGACTAAATGTATTTTAAACATAGTTGCTGATATAGGTGTTCTAGAACAATGGTTATGATAATAATTATTAAGGCAATAGATAACATGAAAATTTGATAGTATTAATCACATTGTGGTATGAATTACTTTACTGTAGCTACAACGTTACTTGTCGTAATCCAAAAAATATAATATCATACATGCCAAGGGGGTGGATCGGACCCGGAGTCCAACCCCTTCGCTACGCCACTGACTTGGAGTACCCGTGTAGTCATTTCACTTCCCCACCACCACCTGTTATTTCAAAATTAAAAATAATAACTTATACCGATCATATGATTACCGATTCATGAGTCTTACCTGTCAGTCAAATTCCTTCTGCAGCTTTACTACCCATGTAGAAATATTTATTCTATTTTTCCCCTCACAAAGTCTGTTAATTTTCTATCTACAAATTTTTATTATTGTCTTTTTACACACGTAGTATGTATGAATCGTTCTATGTGAGCGCCTGTTAATTGATTAATTAAAAGAAGTTCTAACAGCGTGCTATATTCACTGCCGATACGTATTTTTACGGTAATTTAATTGAGCATTTAGCCTCCTCTATAAATAAACTTATACTACTTCTTCTTTTTCCTCACGATTATCCCAACTACCTTATCCACTCTTATCCTAAACTTCTACTTGACACGATCCCCCACATCATCTATGCTCACATCAGCCGTCCTCATATCGCATTCAATAACATCCTTTCATCTCTTTTTTGGTCTTCTTCTACCTCTTTTAACATTCATCTTCATAACTGTTCTTACAGCTTTCGATTCCTCATAACATGACCAAAACTATCTAAGTTTAACTCACTTTTTCTTACTTTTCAGAATCAGTGAAAACTTNGTGTTTTTCAGAAGAAATATTACTTCAGAATCAGTGAAAACTATAGAAAACTATATCTAAAAATGTTATTATTAAAATCAGGAAAATTCAAAAAGAGAATATAGTAAAATGTATTGGGTATAAGGTTGAAGCCTCTTAATGAGGTATTCTCTTTGNAGCCTCTTAATGAGGTATTCCCTTTGGGCCTATTCAAAAATTATTTTAGGAGGAAATTTAATATTTTTTACTTTGTTAAACATGTTATAGAAATTTTTTTGCTAAAATTAAATTAATGATGAAAAAAAGGACATTAGGTCCTTATATATTAGAAGTTGCCTAAAAAAATAATGATAGCGCTTGTTCAAGGAGGGGCCAATCTCTCTTAAATACACCCCTGTTATACACACAAATTATTAATAATCTAATTATAATAATTGTGTTTATATTATAGAATAATTAAAAAAAAATTTAGCAGGTTATTATAAGTGGCACACTGTAAATTTAAATTAAAATTAATATTAAAATAAAATTAATATTAAAAATAAAAATAAAAATTTAATTTTGATAAATATATTGGTAACTGCGATTTAACGATGAACATCATAGTTATCATAGATGAACTTCAATTCAAAAGATAAACTCATAGTCTCATACGTCATATATGAGAAAAAAGAAAATTATTAACTCTGTACTTAGGTAAAATTAAAACTATATTAAAAATATTAATATAGTTTTAATTTTACTTAATTAACTAGCCACAAGTGATCAATTTTTATTATATCTGTACTTAGTACTGTTCTTATAATGAAAGTACAAACTTAAATAAATATAACGTCATGAAATTTATATANTTAAAATTAATATTAAAATAAAATTAATATTAAAAATAAAAATAAAAATTTAATTTTGATAAATATATTGGTAACTGCGATTTAACGATGAACATCATAGTTATCATAGATGAACTCCAATTCAAAAGATAAACTCATAGTCTCATACGTCATATATGAGAAAAAAGAAAATTATTAACTCTGTACTTAGTACTGTTCTTATAATGAAAGTACAAACTTAAATAATTATAACGTCATGAAATTTATATATAACATATAACATTCCTTGATAAAAATAGGGCAAATGCAAAATAGTGTCCTAATAATAATACATAATACACCATATAATTAAGGTTCATAATACGTATCAGCAGAAATGAATCACTGCGCATAATACAACCATGCGCGTGGACTTATAAAAAAAAGATCGTAAAACGATAAAAAATGAACGGATTGAATAGATTTTTTTATCATATCTCAGAAATGTCATTGGGCGGGTCTGATGAAAATTTCAAACCTTAAGTCGTAAAACGCTGGCGTCAGCGAGCGTTTTTCTCGAAAACGGTCGAAATTTTAAAACGCTCGCGGGCGAGCGGCAAAAATTTTCCGACCTTCGCCAATAATTTTCCCGGAGTCTGGTGACCGAGTACTTTCGTTGAAAAAAAAGATGTTGAAAATCCGAGCACGCTAAGTAATTTTCCCAGAAAAGCGTTTTTTTCCTTGTTCTATTATATAATAAGAAGATCTACATATTAAACTTAATTTTTGTCCAGTAAATATTAAAATAAATCTAATAGAGAAAAAACATACTACTGGTAATTGTTAATTGTAATTTTATTTAGCTCTTTTGTTATCAATAAACAATAAAATCTTCAAACTAAAAACGTGGAAGAAGACTAATACGATAGCAGTGCTATTATTTAACAATTTACGTATTTAGTAAAACATAAGTTAAGTCTAAAATAGTATAAAACGCTACCGGTAATTAACAATGCAATGAGCGGTTATAAATAAATGCTTATTTCTTCATCTTTCTTAAAATTAAATTTTTTTATTCGATTATATTAGATAAAAAAAAATTCGGTACCATTTAAACAAAAAATTTAATGACATAAGTTTCAGGCATAAGGGATAATAACAGAAATTAAATTTTTCTTATAGAATTATTTTTGTTACAAAAAAAATAATTATCTACTAAATAATCGAAAATATTTAGGGAATGTATTCCTTACCCATTCTGTACAGAGTAATTGATTAACTATACTTCACAAATTAATACTAATAGTTCTTATCTGTATACTAAATTTTAATGTCACTGTATTTACCCGATTACTGTTTTATTTGTTAAATCCCTTAAACTTTAAATAATTATATCTCGTTTAGGATTTATTGATTCTTTTTTTTTATGCTTGATAAAAATTCTTATTAATAAAGATTAATAAAAAAAAAAAAAAACTGGGTTGCTATTTGAAAAACTAAAATTGATATTGATTTGAGGGTTAAGGGATGAAGATCTTTATTTTTTTTGTCAAGTAGCTCAACAATATCAAAGTCAAATCCCGGAAAGATACATTAATATAATAGGAGATATGTATGATGGCACTTGTACTAGGGTAAAAAGTGTGGGAGGAGTAACAGAAGGTTTTCGGGTAAGAATAGAAGTGCATTGGGGTTCTGCTATAAACCCTTACTTATTTTCTATAGTGATGGATGAAATTACTAGAGAAATTCAAGGAGAGGTGCCGTTGTGCATGTTGTTTGTTGACGATATAGTGTTAATAGGAGAAAATAAGGAGGAAATTAATCAAAGGCAAGAGGTGTGGAGATCAGCTCTTGAAGAAAAGTGTTTAAGAATAAGTAGGAGTAAGACAGAGTATATAGAGTACGACTTTGATAAAGGAGAACACGAAGTAGGGAATATAAGAAGATCAGTGATAATAGGCGAGGATGTGATTGGAGAGGTGGAAAGTTTTAAGTATTTAGGATCAGTTGTGCAAAAGAGCGGTGGAATTGACGAGGATGTAAGACACAGGTTTCAGTGCGGGAGGTTGAAGTGGAGAGAAGCGTCTGGTGTC